TTCTATGCAGTAATAATGAAGAATCTGAAAAGGAAATTATATAAACAATTCTATTTACAATGGAATCAAAAGAAATAAAATAGGCATAAACTTAAGCAAAGAGACAAAACTTTGTATTGACAACTCCAAAAACTTGCTGAAAGAAATTTAAAAAGACATAAATATATGGAAAGTCATCCCATGTTCATGGGTTGGAAGACTTAATATCGTTAATATGCCAATACTACCCAAAGCAATCTATAGATTTGATGAAATTCCTACCAAAGTCATAATGACATTTTTTTGCAGAAATAGAAAAATAAAATCTAAAATCCATAGTAAATCTCAAAGGACCCCAAATATCCAAAAACATCTTGAAAAGGAGGAGCAAACTTGGAGGTTTCACACTTACTGATTTCAAAACTAACTAGAAAGCTATGGTAAGTGAACAAGTATTATACTGGCATAAAGACAGATATACAGACCAATGGAATAGAATGAAGAGCCCAAAAATGAACTCTCACATATACAATTAAGCAACTTCTACAAGGGTTCCAAGATCTTTCAATAGGGAAAGGACAGTCTTTCCAACAAATTGTGTTGGGAAAACTGGATAGTCACATACAAAAGAATGAAGTTGGAATCTCATCTTACATCATAAAAAGTTAGTCAAAATGGATCAAAGACCTAAATAGAAGATGTAAAACTACAAAATTCTTAGAGAAAAATAAAAGAAAACTTGGGGCAGCCCAGTGACTTAGTGGTGATGTTCGCATGCCCCACTTTGTGCAGCCAGGGGATCGGAAGTTTGGACCCAGGGTGCAGACCCAGCACCATTCACTGAGCCATGCTGTGGCAGCATCTCACACAAAGTAGAGGAAGATTGGCACAGATGTTAGCACAGCGACAATCTTCCTCACCAAAAAAACAAAAGAAAAAATAAAAGAAAACTTTCGTTTCATTGCATTTGACAATGACTTCTTAGATATGACATGAAAACAAAGACAACAAAAGTAAAAATAAATAAACTAGACTTCAACAAAATTACAGACTTTTGTGTATCAAAGGACACTATCAACAAAGTGAAAAGGCAGCCCAGAAAATCAAAGAAAATATTTGAAAATCATATATATGATAAGCAATTAATATCCTTAAGAACTTTTAAAACTCAACAACAACAGATGATTAGATTGAAAACAGGCAGAGGACTTGAACAGACATTTGTCCAAAAAATATGTTCAAATGGTCAATAAACACACGAAAAGATGCTCAACATCACTAATTATTAAGGAAACGAAAATTAAAACAACAATGAGTTACTACTTCACACCCATGAGGATGGTTATTATTTTTTAAAAAAGGAAAGAACAATTGTGGTGTGGATGTTGAAAAACTAGAACTCTTGTGCATTGTTAGTGGGAATGTAAATGAGGCAGCTACTGTAGAAAAAGGAATGGGAGTTCCTCAAAAATTTAAACGTAGACTTACTGTGCGATCGAGCAATTCCACTTCTGGATACAGACTCCACACAAGTGAAAACAAAGACTCAAACAGATCTTTGTACACTCATGTTCACAGCAGCATTATTCACAATAGCCAAAAGGTAGAAGCAACCCACCTACCCATCCATAGATGAATTGATAAAAAAAATTATATATATATGTGTATATATATATATATATACACACAGTCACACAACACTAAAAGGAAGGAAATTCTAATGCATGCTACAACTTGGAGGAATCTTGAAGATTGTATGCTAACTGAAATAACCAGTCAAAAAAGGACAAATACTGTATGATTCCACGCATATGAGGAACCAGAGTAGCCAAATTCATAGAAACAGTCGTAGAATGGTTGTTGTCAGAGCATGTGGGGAATGGGGAATGGGGATTTAGTGTTTCATGAATATACGGTTTCAGTTGGGAAAGATAAAAGTGCTCTGAAGAAGGATGGTGGTGATGGTTGCATAGCAATATAAGTGTACTAATTCCACTGAATTGGATACTCAAAAATTAAAATGATAAATTTTATGTTATGTGTTGTTTACTACAATTAAAAAAAACACCAGTGAAATGCCCTTTAGCTACATTCTATCCTAATGCTAAAAACGTGAATGGCATTATTTGATAGATAACTAGCTAGGTAGGTAGGTAGGTAGATAGATAGATAGATAGATAGATAGATAGATGGATGGATGGATAGAGTCAGCTTTATGGACTTTCCTTTTTATTAACATATAAATAAATATTAACAAAAAGAAATATCAGGGGAGGCTTCTTTCAGTTGTGCACTGAGCTGTTCCATAAAGAGGAGTGGGAAGGGCATGACAGTGATATATGGCAGTGAAAGGTATTTGAGGAAGAAAGAATAGCATACGTAAGAGCATGTAAGCGCCATCAAACATCATATAGCCTATTGTCTCTGCAATTTAGTCCCTACCACCCTGATATGATCCCATCTCCTTAGTTCATATGATAAAACAGGAGAAAGGCGTCCCTGAACAATCAGAGAAAGCTGCAGGAGCCTTGCACTCAGAAGATGAGTGAGTTAGTTTACAATGTTTGCCAAACGCTTCTGGCACCGAAGGATTCTAAGGAACTTAATTATGATCTCTTCATATGGATTTCTTCTAAGGAGAAAGAGACTTAATTAATAATGATGGAAGAATAAATTTGAGTGTCATGAAAATTAGTCCAAATAAATCTAATCCAATTTAAAAGGTATTTATTGAACACATATTATAAATGAATGAATGAATGATTAAATGATTGTATCAACAGAAGAGATTAAAGGTGATTACTATATTCTTATCACTGTTCTATTGCACTCCAATAACATTATCTTACTCTCCAGAGGCTTTAATAAAGTTATCAATAATGGCATGATGTTAATCAATATACTCTACAGAAAAATAAAAAAATAAATGTTTTTTTCTTTTCTTTTCTTTTCTTTTTGAGATAACATCCACTGCCAATCCCCCTCCCCCTTTTTTTTTGCTGAAGAAGATTGGCCCTGAGCTAACATCCATGCCCGTATTCCTCTACTTTATACGTGGGAGGCCTGCTACAGCATGGCTTGATAAGGAGTGAGTAGGTCCACAGCCAGAATCTGAACCAGTGAACCCAGGGCTGCCAAAGTGGAGCATGTGAACTGAACCACTGTGACACAGGGCCAGCCCCATAAATGTTTTTTCTTGAGGTGCTGCTAGATTTAACAAATATGTGGCTAAGAGGGAATGGAATCAAATATATTCTTTAGATAAATATTAAAAAATACAAATATTACACAGTTGCAAAGAAATTAAATAATGTTTAATGGGTATTTCCTAAAGCATTTTAAACAAGCAAAGGGTGAAGAACACAAGAAATTATAATCATGGGGGAAAATTAAAATAATTAACCTTCATTGTTTCCTCTATACCACTGCATTGATCTTCTTTCCGTGTCTCATTTAATCATCCCATAACTACATGAGGGAGGTTCTGGGATCACGCCTTTTTATGTATCAGGAAACCAAGGTGAAGAGGAATTAAATAGAAATAAAGCTAGCCAAGTAAAGAATACTGGACTTGAACCCAGGCAGTTTAACACCAAAGCCTGGATCCTTAACCAAGAAGTGATTGGACTACCCGGAAAAATGTCATAAAGTCTAAAGTCTACCAAAGTAAGAACACACATTCAGTTTGCGCATTGATTAAGCAATCAAGGAGAAGACATCTCAATATTACCAATTCTCCAAAGCAGAAAACTGCACACTCTTCTCATATTTGAATGGCAAACTGAGCGTTGGCGAATTTAGAGATGTTAATCTTTGTCTGTTTAACTATGGGTGTTTGTTCCTAAGGCTACTAAGCAAAGGGAGGTGAAAAGTTTCAGAGCATAAGTTTCAAAAAACTAATTTTACAGATCCAAAGCATAAAAAAAGGGCCATAGATCTTAGGGAATATTTTTAAAAAGTCATGAGAAATAGGTAACTAAGTTGGAAAACTAGTGACAATGAATTAAAGAAATAAGTAAGCCCTTGGTACTGAGGCAATAAATAGGACTATTTCAACATTGTTGCCAATAAATTTGAGATCTCATGATGTCCTGATACTGGGTTCCAAGTTACCTAATAAATGAGGCAGACTTAGTGCACATGGTCCCTCAAGGACCCAGGCTTTGGAGTTAGACTGCCTGGGTTCAAGTCCAGTTTTGTTTGCCTGTCTTGGCTTTATTGCTGTTTCATTTTTCTTCAACTCAGGTTCCCGATATATAAAAATGAGTGCTACTAGAACCCACCTTATATAGTTGTGTGGTGATTAAATGACACATGGTAATATTGACTACTAATCATGAAAATAAGAATTCGTGACCTCAATTTTAGCAGTCATTAAACTCCACGATATCGGCTTATTTTGTTAAATGCACTCTACATCTACCAAAATTTCTCTAGAAATGGAACAGCCACAATATTAAAATTTGAGCCTTCACAACATCTAATGTTTGTTTAATAGTTTTTTGAGAGATTTGCTTAATATTAATTGTTAATATTTATGTATCATTAGTTCTACTCCTTTATCTAGATAAACAATAATTCTTCAAATTTGATTCCACTAGAGAATAGGTACAACATTTATATCACCTATTCTATCAAATCACAGCCACATGTATGATGTATGGATCAAATTGTTTCAGATTGCCAGGTGTATAATGTCCTTCATTTAGGTATCTAGAGAAATCTTTTTTTTCCTCTACTTACCCTTGTTCCCCTTCCTTTACTGTTCACTCTCTATTTGTAATTATCCTCCAAAAGACACATACACAGGAGGAGATTAATTTGTTCTCCAATATTTAATAAAGAAAAAGTTGAAATAACTTGTGGAATTAGAATTTTTGGAATTTACAGATATCTGGTAAGTAAAAGATCTTTCAAATAATAAATGTAATTCAGCTTATAGAGTAGAGTAGTTCATTATTTTCCTGGCATTACCTCTTTTCCTCTCATTTATTCTTGAACCATCTGTTTTATTGTAACAACTAAAATTGGGAAACTTTGACCATTAGTGTCCTAAAAACATGTTCCCGTATTTTCTTGGTCCTTACTCCATACACAATGGGGTTGAGAAAAGGGGGCACCAAAAGGTACATATTTGCAATAAAAATATGGATACGTGCAGGCACATTTTTCCCAAAACGGTGAGTAAAAATGGAAAAACCAGCTGTGGAATAGAAGACAAGAATAACACAGACGTGGGATCCACATGTGCCCAAAGCCTTAAAGCTAGCTTCTCGGGATGGCAGACGGAGTACAGAACGAAGAATGAAGGCATAGGATACGGCAATGAGAATAGCATCACATGAGCCAATGATAGAAGCCACACTGAGGCTATATCTCTTGGTGGCCCCTGTGTCCACACACGCCAGCTTCACCACAGCCATAAATTCACAGTAGGTGTGGGCAATGATTCGTGCTCTGCAGTAAGGCAGCTGTTTGAGCAGGATGGGGTGTGGAGAAAAGAAGGCTACACCCCGAATCACCACAATAGTACCCATCATAGTGATGTGAGCATGGGTGAGAATGGTGGTGTGGTGCAGTGGGTCACAAATGGCCACATAACGGTCAACAGCCATGGCCAAAAAGAATCCTGATTCCATGGCAGTAAAGCTGTGAATGAAGAACATTTGGGCCAGGCAGGCATCAAAGGCGATGTCATGGACTCCCAGCCAGAAGAGACAGAGCATGCGGGGCAACGTAGAAGTGGAGAGGACCAGATCAGTGACTGAGAGCATGCACAGAAAGAGGAACATGGGCTCATAGAGGCTTCTCTCTGCCTTCACCACGGCCAGGATGGTCACGTTCCCCACCACAGCCACCAGGTACATGGAGCAGAAGGGAATCCCAATCCAGACATGCAGGTGCTCTAGTCCTGGGATGCCCATCAGCAAGAAGGTGACAGGAGAGGGACAAGAAGCGTTAAGAGGTGGCATGATGGTTTTTCTTTTGCTTTTGATTAGCACTTCTGAATATAAAGTTGCAATGTCAAGATGATCACAACCAGAGGCTGAAAAATATGGAGATTTTGTTCAGGAAGGCCATTAATTAAGTGTTGATAAAAACAATTCAAATTCATAATCTGGGATATTTAAATTTGCTGAAATCAGATTAATAAAATTAGTAATAAGATACCAATTTACTATGCTTAGCAGTACAGAAAAATATACTTATATCATTTCATATTATCTCAGGGACCTCTAAGTCACCTTAGCCCTCATTTCCAGTAAAAGTTTCCTTCTGTAGTCATACTTGTACTTAATTCAACTAATACTTACCCAGCTGTTACCGTGCTTCTCCTTTGAGCTCGCCTGCAATATTTCTCTCATGTGACAGAGTTTTCCATAAATGGAAGTGATCAAGCAAAGACCCTGTGAAAATTTCACCGAGTTATTTAAAGGACACTTACTTGGGAGAACAGAAATAAATGACCTCTGTCCCTCTCTGTGTGGACACGATATTGAAGTCTTTGGCATAGCTTTTGAAATAGGATTAACTCAATTTATATCTTCAGTCTTTCATTTGCCGCTCTGCATACGTGATTAATCTGACAAATAAAATATGCTGAAGTTGCTGTTTTCCTGTTTATTTCTTTCTACCATGTACTCTTTAAGTAGGCACATATTATGTTCTTTTGAAGCCATACATATATATTGCTGAGGACAATATATTTCTTAACAATAACCCCACTCACTACCTTGTCATCCTCATTTTTTTTTCAGATTTACATCATTTCACTGTGCAGATGGATCCTAACTGTGCTCCTGCATTTATTGATCCAGAAACCCACGTTCTAAAACATGCACAGGAGTTTATTAAATTGGTAAACTGACCCAACGATGTCTGAGATACCAGTTACTGACTAAAGCAGATTTCTTTATACCTCTTCCCATAGTTTTAATGGATAGTCAACTCTCCATGGCAGAGAATCCCTGGGATAAAGTAGTTGAGCATGAGGCAGGACATGAGAGAGTTAAAGAAGAAAAGGACTCTTAAGTCACCACAAATTCATAAGTTGTAGAGAAACCCTTGGTTACTAATTTTCTGTTTTCCCATCTTCCATCAAGGCAGTATTCGGTATTTGTGTAGTACTCCCATTAGCTTTTAAGGACAATCTGCTTTCCATGCCCCAAACAAATCCTGATGATGTAATAGGTACTACTAAGAACTTACACAGAGTTACCTCTACATATGCCTTCGAGAATCATTCCAGCACAGCTATGTCTCCTAATATTATTAACTGAAGAAATATTCTCCAGGGTTTTACATTTACATTTCTGGGCTTTATTATAGTAAAAACATTTGAACAAAGCAAATATGGCTTTCTTCATTATTTAGCTTTAAGTAAGTGTTCAACTTTAAGCACGTAATTTGTAAGGCAAACCATTACCCTGGAGGGGAGGAAAGGGTGAGTTATCTAGAAATAGTAACAAGGAATCAAATTAAGTTTAGTGAGTCAAGGAAAGCCTTCTTGAGTAAATGGCACTTAGGCTGGAAGGTGAAGCATCGATGACTTCAGCCCATGGGATCTGAATATAGATACGTAGATATAGACATAGACTACACATACTTATCTGTCCTTCTACACATACACACATGCACACACACATAAACAAAGAAAAAGGAAAGGAGCATAAACATAGTTCCATCAGGAGGGACAATCATGATGTAATGAATTAAAATCTAGTGTAGTTGGGACTCAAAGACTGCAAAGAGATTCAAGTGAGATGGGATTCCCTGGGTAAATGAGGATCTCCGCACATTCATGTGTAACCACATAAACAACAGGAAATGTTATAGTCTAGATCAGTGGCTGTCACTCATTATGTGATCAATGAGCCCATGTTGGAGGCACAAATACAACACAGAGCATTGCACAAACGGACTTTGAAAGTGTATACACTCACAGATTTATACAATAATTTCCAAAACACTTTTTTTGCACAAACTCACATGATATGATTGTTGTGATATTATCTCCCTGAAAATGCCAAACTGTGGTTGAGACCCAGAGGTCATGAGGTATCCATGTGTTTGTCCTTCAATAGATTCAGACAATATAAAATCTGATCAAGATGAGAGATAGCCATCACTTCTATGATTTCCTAAAAAAAATCTTTGCTTCCCAGAATCAAGTTTTTGTATTCGTTTTATCCATAGAGGGTAAAAAATATGTATTCCCTCTGTTTCAAACGATCATATCTCTTCCCTTGAATCTAGGTCATGAGGAAATAAATAGATGTTGTTTGAGGGAGTCTCATGTCCTTTGAAGTTTTCCTTAGATTTCTCAGACTATTTCCTCCTCTACATCCCTCTGTAGTTTCATAATAAACTTAATTAGTTCATAGAGAAACTAATTCAGAGCCAAGAAGCAACCAAAACATGTAGCTTCTATATGTAGCAGCTTCAACACGGTAATCTCAGAGGATAAGCAGGAATAATATTTAGTACAAATAGGTTCTTATGGAATCATTGGGAGAATAGCGTCGCGGGGTGGGTATTTGTGTTGTTGGCGAGCACTGATAATCTTCCTAATTTCAGGGATAGTCATTTACCTGTGCCTTCCCTTAGGTTTACAGTCGCAGATGCAGCCATCCCTCAATACTTTGATATAATGTATCAACTACTTAACAGGATCAGTTCTGCAGGGAATTGAAAAGACACAGAAAACATTCTTTATTCCTTAAATACATTAACTTCATTCCGATGTCAACTTGGGACATAAACCTTGCAGGCCAGAAGAGAGTGGAATGATATATTTAAAATGTTGAAAAAAAATCAGGAATTCTGTATCTGGTAAAACTACCTTTCAAAAATGAAGGAAAAACTAAGATATTCTCAGATAAGCAAAAGCTGAAGGAGTTCACTACTGCTAGACTCTCTCCACGAGAAATGCTAAAGACCGTCCTTTATGTTGAAGTCGAGGGAAGCTAGAGAGTCAGTCGAAAATATAAAGTTCTTTAGCAAATAGAAATACACATACAAATATAAAAACAAGCATCATCAAAATTTGGGTTTATAACTCCACTTTTTATTCTTCTACAGGATTTAAAAGACAGTACAAACATAATTATAAATCTATGTTAATAGGTACACAATACATAAAGTGTAATTTGTGACATTAATAACTTCAAGTGTGACAGAGAAGCTCTAAAAGAGTAAAGCCTTTGTATGTGATTGAAATTAAGTTGTTATCCATTTTAAATATATTTTTATAATTTTAGGATGTTATATTTAATCGCTGTGGCAACTACAAAGAAAATACATATAAAATATACACAAAAGGAAATGACAAGGAATCAAAAGGAGCCACTACAAAAATCAACTAGCACAAAGAATGGCAATATGGGAGGAAATGAGGGAGAAAAAAGTTATAAGACATACAGAAATCAACAAAAATATTTTCTTACAGTCTGAAACTTGTGCTTGCATTCTCTTAACAGTGCTTTGGAAGAGCAGAACTCCTTAAGTTTTATGAAATTTAGTGCATTAATTTTTAAAATATATCTGGCTATTGAACTTCTATATGGTTTCCCATAGAAGTTTTATAACTTTAGGTTATACGTTTAGGTTTCTGATCCATTTTGATTTTATTTTTTTAAAGAATGTGAGATATAGATTGAAGGGCATATTTTTGAATATTATTACCCAAGTGTTCCATCTATCTATTCTACATTAAATTACTTTAGCAGTTTTTTGAAAATCAATTAACTAGATATATGTGAATCTATCTCAGGGCTTCCTCTCCTGGTATATTGATCTATTTGCACGTTTTTATGCCACTACCACACTATCTTTATTAATGTAAGTCCTCCAACTTTGTTACAGTTTTTTAAAGTTGTTTTGGTTATTCTGGTTATTTTACATTTCCACATAAATTTTAGAATCAGCTTTTTAGTTTTTACAAAAAAAAATACGCCTGCTGGAAATTTGAGTGGAATATGATTAAATTTGTATATCAACTTGGAGAAAATAGAAATATTTGCAATACCAACACTTTGGATACATGAAGATTGTTCATCTCTCCATTTATGTATGTCTTCTTCAATTTCTCTCAGCGATGATTTCTCCATGCAAGTCTTTTAATTTTTCGTAAAATCTGTCCCCAAATATTTTTAAATGCTATTTTAGATGATATTTTTATTTCATTTTCTAATGGAATGTCATTAGTATGAGAAATCCAACTGTTTGTACAGTGACCCTGAAATTTCTAACTTGCTAAAGTCACATCTTACTTCTAGTAGCTTTTAGTAGGTTACATAACATTTATCTACATAGAAAAGTCATGTCATTAGTAAATTGAGTTTAATTTCTTTTAACAATATCAATGATTTTCATTTCCTTTTATTTGTCTTAATGCATTGGCTAGAATCCCCAGTACAATAGAGAATAGACGTGATCAGAGCAGACATTCTTGCATTTTTTCTGATAGTAGAGGGAAAAGACTCAGTCTTTCATCAAGTGTTATGTAACCTATAAGTCTCTTTTAATAGATTTCCACCAGCCAGTTAGAGAAGTTCCCTTCACTTGCAAGTTTTATGAAATTTTCATCAGAAATTCATGATGGGGTTTGTCAAATGCTTTTTCAGCATTTATTAACATGATCATATGTATTTTTCTTTTCTTATGAAAGTACGGTGAAATACATTGATTAATTTTCAAATGCAAAAATTATTCGAGTTTCTGAGATAAGTGCTACTTGGTCATGATATATGATCTTGTTATACATCATTGAATTCAATTTGCATAATTTTGGCAATTTTTTTGAAACTGAGTTTATACAGGAATTTGGTAACTAATTTTATATTCATTCCTTTTTCTGCTTTTGATAGTATTGTAGAGCTGGCAATATAGAATGGGTTTGACTCTTTCAGAGACAGAATTAAGGGATAAATAACATTCAGATCACAATAACTCTCTGAGTGAAATTAAGAAA